CATTTAAATTTGTTTATTTATATACTTCTAGATTTGGAAAGCTGTTCACAACATATTGTTGAGTAAAAGAAAACAGATTACAAAAGAAAACAACAAGAATTCCCATTAAAAAAATGAAAAGAAAAATATCTGAAACCTGCAGCAAATGTCATATTTGAAGGTTAAACATTAGAAGTACAATCATTAAGATTAGAAATAAGATAAAAGACAAGAATACCCAATTATCACGAGTAATACTCAATATTGTACTAGCTGTCCTGGTCATTGCCATATGAAAAGAAATGAAATAAACTGCATAAATGCAGGTTGCAAAGCAACAAAACTCATTATTTGTACAATATGACTGACAACCTAGAAAATGCAAAGAAATCACCAAAAAATATTATTCAATAAATAGAGGAGTTTAATAAGGGGTGAGATATAAGATCAATGTATAAAAGTCAATTGCTGTGGTTTATGTCAAAGAGTGTTTTTCCTACGTTTTCCTCTAAGAGTTTTATAGTTTCTGGTCTTACAACTAGAGGAATCAGGCTCCCTGACTTCAAACTATACTACAAAGCTACAGTAATCAAGACAGTATGGTACTGGAACAAAAACAGAAATGTAGATCAACGGTACAGGATAGAAGCCCAGAGATAAACCCACGCACATATGGTCACCTAATTTATGACAAAGGAGGCAAGAGCATACAATGGAGAAAAGACAGCCTCTTCAATAAATGGTGCTGGGAAAACTGGACAGCTACCTGTAAAAGAATGAAATTAGATCACTACCTAACACCATACACAAAAATAAACTCTAAATGCATTAAAGACCTAAATGATCCAGCAATCCCACTACTGGGCATATACCCTGAGAAAACCATAATTCAAAAGGACACATGTACCCCAATGTTCATTGCATCATTATTTACAATAGCCAGGACATAGAAACAACCTAAATGTCCAATCATAGATGAATGGATAAAGAAGATGTGGTACATATATACAATGGAATATTACTCAGCCATAAAAAGGAATGAAATTGGGTCATTTGTAGAGATATGGATGGACCTAGAGTCTGTCATACAGAGTGAAGTAAGCCAGAAAGAGAATAATAAATATCGTATATTAACACATATATATGGAATCTAGAAAAATGGTACAGATGAACCTATTTGTAGGGCAGGAATAGAAATGTAGATGTAGAGAATGGACATGTAGACAAAGTGGGGGAAGGAGAGGGTGGGACGAACTGGGAGATTAGGTTTGACATAAATACACTACTGTGTGTAAAATAGATAGCTAGTGGGAACCTGCTGTATAGCACAGGAAGTTCAGCTTGGTGCCCTCTACGACCTAGATGGGTGGGATGGGGAGGGTGAGAGGAAGGTCCAAGAGGGAGGGGATATGTGTATACATATAGCTGATTCACTTCATTGTACAGCAGAAACTAACACAACATTGTAAAGCAATTTTACACCAATAAAAATATAATAAACTCAAAAATAAAATAAAATAAAAGTCAATTGCTTTCTTTTATGAGCAATAACCCCTTAATATCCCCTATATATTATCAAGCAAAACCATAAAATACTTAAGCAGGAATATCCAAGATTGCCCATATGTGGTGAACAATCTAAGCCATCACTAAAGGACTAAAAGATGCCAATTCTTCTCCAACATTAATGTATAAATTCAATGTAATCCCAACCAGAATCCAAAGGAGTTTTACTTAATGGAAATTGACAAATTCTTAACTTCTTCTTTTTTTTTTTTAAATATTCAAGCCTGCGAGATCTTCGTTGCAGCATGAGGGATCTTTTTTAGTTACGGCATGCAGGCTCTTAGTTGTGGCAGGAGGGATCTAGTTCCCTGGCCAGGGATCGAACCCGGGCCCTATGCATTGTGAGCAAAGAGTCTTAACCACTGGGCCACCAGGGAAGTCCCTGATTCTTAACTTTTTATGTGAAATACACACACACACACACACACACACACACACACACATACACACACACACACACACAAATAGCCAAGAAAATTTTGAAAAATGAAGATAAAATGAGGGAGACGACTGTGCTACCACAAATAGTTATGGCAATTAAACAATGTGTATATATAGTTTTAAACATCAGTATGATAAAATAAAAACAAAGTTAACACACAGACAACTGACTAGGAGAAAAAAGTTTCAACTTCCGGCTGATGAATGATTACTGATTGTATGTATATATGCGCACATGTTTAGTGATTTTATATATATATATATAGTCACTATATATGTATTATGTTATGTATATATTCATTATATATGTAGTCATTATATATCTCTAGTATATATAAATTACTTATAAAAAGATAAACAACCTGTTAGAAAAATATGAATAGGTACTTAGAACTGAGGAAATTAAAATGGCCAATAAACATGAAACGAGAGGAACAAAGTCCTCTTTGGTTCAGATCAAACCAATAAGGTTCTATTGTTTTTTGTTCACTATCATGGCAAATTTTTAAAAGACCCATAATGTCAAATAGTATAGGAAAGCAGATGGATCGATACTGGCACAGTCATTTAAGATTGAGATTGTCAGTATCTACCAACTCTTGAGATTTCTAAACCAATTAACCCAACAATCATACTTGTATAAATACAATCTGTAGAAAAATTGGCAATGAATTTCATGTCCATCAGTAGCATATGCTTGTTAAATTGCTCAGAATTCTAACAGCAATTTAAAATAAAGATGATTCTATTTTTATTAAAATTTTCTAAGACATATTCTCCAGTTACTATTGCTATAACAAACTCTCCCAAACTTAGTGAATTAAAACAACCACCAGGAATCAGACAGGGCACAGTGAGGCTGCCTGGTCTCTGCTCCAGGAAGTCTGGAAGGAGCTGCAAGGACTCAACAGTTATTCACTGAGCTATTCATCTGTGGGGACGCTCAACTACAGCTCCTACAAGGGGCCTCTCCCTCTGCCTGAGCTTCTTCAGAAAATGATGATGGCCTCAGGATACTGCAATATTACATGGTGACTCAGGGCTCCAAAAGTAGATATTCCATCAAACGATGGAGAAACTGCGTTGCCTCTCCTGACCTAGCTTCATAAGCCAGTGTCACTTCTGCCAATTTCTACTGTCACAAGCCTGCCCAGATTCCAGGCGAAGGGACACAGACTCTATCTCTCAATGTCAAAGTCACATTGTAAGAGCATGAAAATACACAGAATATCATTTCAAAAGATGATAGCAAACTGTTAAGAACTGTTAGCTCTGAGGAGTGGGGTGAGATTATAGTAGTAGGAGATGGATGCGACCATTTGCTTTTCCTATAATGGGTTGAGACTTCACAATGAGTCCCCAGTTGAGATGTGTAAAGGACAAGAAACAGTGTGTCTGGAAAACTGCATGCAAATAAAATAGGGCATGAGACATGATTTGGTGCCAATCAAACTACCTCAGCTAAATTTCTAAAAAGCATGATCTGGTATCCAACCACTCAAATGTCAGCCACCATGGAGATGAGTGGAAAACATCAGAATGGATGTCCTGATACCTGAGCCAGGCAGTCTAATCTGTGGCTAGACTTAGGTTGGTAAAGAGGCTGGGACCCTAACAACTCATGAGCTTCTATGTTTTTTGGTTTGTTTTGTATCACTCTAGCTTTCTAGTAAAAAGTCCCTTTAAAAAGTACAGTTTGTTCTCAACTATAAAAACAGAAAAAAAGGATATTTTCTACTTATAAGGATCCTTTTAACCAAGTTCAACTCTAGATCTTGATTCAGATTATGGGTGGGGCTACAAGCAAGAATAAAGGAAGCCTGGTATCATAGTCAGCTTTTCTTACTGAATTTAACCATTTTCAACTGAAATTACTTTTTGTGTGTAGACTAAATCTTTAGTAGAAGTTTATTTTTAAAAAGTTCAGATTCATAACATTTTGTGGTGAATACCAAGACTTACTGTGAAAATACAGTAATCAAGACACTGAGGTAGTAGCCTAAGGATGACCTTACGTAATGGAATACAGAGCCCAGAAATAGTCCCACATAGTCAAATCAATAGTTATTTGAGGTGCTTCCCTGGTGGCACAGTGGTTGAGAGTCCGCCTGCCGATCCAGGGGACACGGGTTCGTGCCCCGGTCTGGGAAGATCCCACGTGCCGCGGAGCGGCTGAGCCTGTGAGCCATGGCCGCTGAGCCTGCGAGTCCGGAGCCTGTGCTCTGCAATGGGAGAGGCCACAACAGTGAGAGGCCCAAGTACCGCAAAAAAAAAAAAAAAAAAAAAAAAATAGTCATTTGATTTTTGACTGAAATGCCAAAGCAATCCAATAGGGACAGGAAAGTCTTCTCAATAAATGGGGGGGAAAACTGTTCATATATAGGCCGGGGGAGAACCCAATCCTTACCTCATAGCATATACAAAAATTAATTTGAGATGGATAACAGACATAGTAAAAGTTAAAACTATAAAGCTTCTAGTCTAGAAGAAAGCACAGGAGTATATTTTTGTGACCTAAAAGACAGGAAGAGTACATGGAAAGCAATAAAAGAAAACAGTGGATAAATTTATCTTCAAAATTTTAAAATCCTTCTCTTAAAGACATTGTTAAGAAAATGAATAGGCTATCCAGAAACTAGAAGAAAATTACTGCAAAGCATATATTGGGATAAAGGAGTAGCGTCTAGGATATTTTTAAGAATCGTACAACTCATTAATAAAAGACAAACCAAAACAGGACACTGAGACAAAAGTCAAGTGATGCTCAGCATAGGAAAACACCCAGACACTTGAAAAAATTACTCAATACCACTGCCACCCTCATATTTTACCCAAACTCCGTATACAATGAAAGAATCATTTAAATTTTTAAAAAATAACGTTAATTGGCATATAAACATGCCCATTATAAAGAAAATCTGATACAAAAATAAATATTTCCTTCCATCCATTTACCTCATCCTAATTAACTCTTCAAAAAGTATGGGTAATAATAATTCACACACACACCAAGCTGAGTTACATATAATTATTTTTTTATTTCACAGCCTTTTAAAAGTATAAACCACAAAGTATTTTGAAAAACAGACATGAAGTATCATTTAGCAGCCACAATATTAAAAAAATAAAGTAACATAGAATGAATTACACAACAGAATAAAATAATCTCTGCTGACTTTGACTAGGAACACATAATGTTCACTAGGAATGTTAAATGACCAGCACTACCCCTTTCCCATCATCATTTATTACTAAAATCAATCACAGGATCTGTTCCCAGGAGACCGTTCCACTTATACATACGTTCAATGTGTAAATGTCAAGTTAACATCTCGAATTTAGTTCCAAAATACCATGTTTCCTTTTCCTCTGAGAGACAAGTTCAATGGCAAGGTGGAACAGTGAAGACCATGGAACACCAAGCATGTGACTTACGTGGTGACTCTAACCACCCCCTTCCCCATACACACACCCAGCAAGTTCTAAAACACAGGAAAGAGAAAGGTATGTACTATGCTCTACAGCACAACAGACACTGGCCACATGTGGCTATTTACATTTAAATTATTTAAAAGTAAATAAAATTAAAATTTACCTCCTCAATCACAGTAGCCACATTTCAAGTGTTTGCCAACCACATGTGGCTAGTGGCTACCATATAAGACAGTTCAAATATAGAACATTTCTGTCATCACAGAAAGTTCTTTTGGACAGCCCTGGATGTGGGAAGTGTTTCTTCTCCCTTTGCTTAGCCAGGATGTAGGCTGCTTATGGAAGCAGCTCTGAGAAGCAATTCTTCCAGGATATTCCTAGATTGGTGGTGGAGTCACAGAATGGAGTAAAGTAGCCTTTCTTCACATAGATTACCCTCCTCTGTGCATGAAAGAAATGATCCTTTTATGGGGATCAAATACACAACTAGATTCCACCAAAAATTTTTCAGGAAAATCAGAGAAGAAATAAATGAAGCAGATGTGGAAGTAGCAAGGTAGAACATTCCTTATCCCATTTCAAACCTCCATGAAGAGATGATGTCCTCCAAGACAGTGTGCAGCTTCCCAGCATCTTCCTCTAGAAAAGCCTGATAGGGGCAAGGGCTGAGAGAGAAGGGCAGTCCTGGTAAGTGTTTCATGAGAAAACCTAACACGTCTTCACTCTACTCACTCTCTCAGAGCACAGCAGTGTTGCTTGGAGTTGCCAGTTGTGAAGGAGCTACAGTTTTGATATGTTTCAAGCATTATGCTTCTTTACTACTGCATTTTGTATCCAGGGCACAGACTACAAGTTGTTCACCCAAGATCCACCATTATCTTCTTCCTTATCAAGAGAACTCAGATTTTTGTTGAAGGCAGTTATATGTCCAGCTACAAAAACTACCTTTCTCAGCCAATCTTAAGACATAGCAGGAGCCAATGACACAGTCTGGCCAATGAGATGTAAGCAAAAGTTGCTGGGCTGCCGAAAGCTCTTTAAACGGAAGTGGGCTCAAACTGGCATGCTCTGTTTTCCCTTTGGGTTTCCTCCATCTTCTTGAGGGGAACTGTAACAACCATCTTGGAACCTACGGGAAAAGCCATGGGAACCTCAGGCGCCACCTTGATGCTGACATCTGTGAGCTGCTGAACCAACACCAGTACTAGCCGACCCTCAACCTCCTTGTTACATGAGAACAAAACGAAACCCCTACTTTGTTAATGCCGCTGTTCAGTCCAGTAATTTCAAGATAGCAATCCACCTTGATTCCCAATAAGAAAATTTTTATCTGAAAGTAAAAAATATCTTGCCTGAAGAATCCGTACATATTCAAGTTCAAGAAACTTCATAGAATCATATTAATAAAACAAAAGTATATCTTGAACCCACCAGTGCCTAAACAGACCAAAGGTGGGTGGAGGAAATAATCAGGATTACTGTGTAAAATAGCTGCTATTAAGGCAAATAAGAGGGGTTTTAGCTTAATCCATCAGGAAGTTTTTTTCTGAGTGTCTATTATGTTCTCAGTACTCTCTAAACACAGGTCTGCCCTTCTGCTTACTCAAGTTCTTATATGGTAAAATGCTGACTACTCAGGTAATTATTCAGATCATTATTTCATCTATAACTTTATTTTGTGTAGACAAAGTAAAAAATGGAGAATTGAGAATTGATTTCACTGATTCAAACAAACAAAAAATCAACATCAAAGATCTACAACTCAATGTTTAATTTTCCCTTTATGTGACACAGACAGCTGACAGTGACTTCCTAATGGTCCCAGAGTTTAAATTGTGGATTTAGCTTAAATAAGCACAAGTACCTCAGAGTAGCTATAAAAATAAAAACAGAGTACAGTATTCTGCAAGTACTTTCTATGTACTACATTAGTATTCTAAAAGTCTCTATATTAGTAGGTACGAATTAGAAAAAATAATCATTTCCCACTATCCAAAATGGTTTAACCATTTACAATGTTTAGAATTTTGGCCATTAAAAATTTTTAACTCTATTGCACTTATTTTGAAACTATAGACAAAATTGGAAACATGAAATGTCAAGCTAAAAATAGGATATTGCATATTTTTTACTCACCTAGTTCCCAAGTTTCCAACCCTGCAAGTGAACCAAAAACAAATCCTGGCACCTTGTCATTCCCAGAAAAGCCAGTGCATGGCACACCCTGGGTAAATTTTCTCTCTTATTCTGTGGAATCGCACCAGATGGCATCAGTCCTGCATCCACAGCTGTGCCTTAAAATTGAAGTTCAGACATAGGAATCTACTTTATTAGACATTTTAGATTTCACAGGTATGATTGTGATGTCATTCTCATTCAACTTAAAATGATTATCTTTCCAAGTAGAACTGCAGATTCATTGCACTTACAAGTTTGGAAATCAGTGAAACAATCGAGATTATCCTAATAAGATTTGAAGTCTTTTTAAACAGCTGAAATTTAGAAACAACAATGAAATAAGAACAGTTGAAACAGAATACTAATATTATGTAACAATCGAATTATGGCCCATTTCCATATAATGTAAGAAATTCAACTCAGTTTCTAATGTTGCTGAAGAGTCACTAAAAACCTTATATTGAAAATAAAACACAGCAATTTTCTATAATCAAGTTACACTTATATAATGAGCAGTTATCTTAAATGTTCCTGACTTTTCAAAATGTTTTAATGCCTAGCTCATATGTACACTGTCTTCAAAAACAGACTTGGTGGAGTGATTGTCAGCACCAGGGTGTGGTGGATAGAGCAGCCAATGTGTACAAGCCTGGCACCTAGGCCACTGTGGGTGTCAGAGCGCTAGATTAAAAATGCATACAGGTAGCACAAAATTTGAGTTCAAAAGTAGTTCTAATGTGAGAGATCGATCTATGTTGGGTTCTTAAAAATGATGATTGAATAAATGAATGGAACAGGGCAGCTCATGTAGAGATGTCAAAGTTTCAAAAGCAAGATCTCTAACAAAGCAAGGGCAAAGCAGGAGGTCAACAGCAGCAAGTTCTTAGAGAACTTGTGAGAGTCCTTAATTCCCAGATTTTAGGGCCAAGTTCCAGGCAGAGGCTGGGTAATAGGAATAAATATTCATTTTTGCCTGGATAAATGGGAACTTAGTAGTTAATGAATCAGATTCTGAGGAGGTTATAAAATGGCACGGGCCACAAGAGAAAAAGGCAACCACTCTTTTCGTAGGAAACTCAGTCAGTAGAACCAGCAAAGCGATTGGCTTAATACTGGGATGGCAGCAAACTACTCACCCTGAGTTCTCTATAGTCTCCTGTCTAGAAGAGTCAGGGGTGATTTAAACCTCTGGACACCAGTGGCACTGCTAGGAAGAATAAAGGATTATAAAATCAAGACAAGCAGGTGGTTAAAACAATTTGCATTCTGGTTATTTATAAAGTATGAAGGGATTGTTTTCCATCCTTGTAAACTATTATTGTTTATTAATTACTCCCACACTCATCTTCAAAGTCCATATTTACCATACAACTGTATAACTACATGTCACTGCAGAGGTGTCAACCAATTAGAGAACTACTGTGCAAAGTGCAATTTAGAATCACTGCAGTGGATTCTGAGATTCAAACTGGGAATTCAAATCGAGTCTTATTATACCTCCAATAAAGAGAGGTGTGTGTATGTGTATATATATGTGTGTGTACATATGTGCCTATATACATATGTGTGTATATATGCACATATATGTATATACACATATGTGCGTGTATATATGTATATACACATATGTATTTGAATTTGCTTATGACATTATATTTCAAATAAACCACTCACTTCATTAACAACAGTTCTATTCTAGGAAAGCAGGAAATTATCCGAGTGTGTCAGGCCAAAACTTCCCCCATAAATATTCACACAGTGAGACCATTTCTTCTTCTCTCGAATTATTAAAATAATTGTCTTCCACTTCACTTTCATATTATCAACCTAGGCAACACTTATTGTTTCATTGTTTTTAGCCTTTCTACATGGTCTGTCTTTGTGCCTAAAATTAATAAATGTTTTCCGTGTTACAGTCACAACAGGGACAGCTTATCTTATCCTAAACATGACTGAACCCAAATCTTCCCTTACTGAAGACAAATTGTATCTGCATTACATATTTCAACTTCAAGAACCCCTGCACACTGTTTGCCAAAAGAGCATATTTATTAAAATTGCAATCACTTCTCACATCCCATTCTAATTATTATGATCCTCTACCTAGACACTGTACTAGGTTAGGAATCAGTTTGGCTCCTTGGTTCCAGTAGAAGCTCACTGGTTCTGAGTGGGAGAGAGCCCTTTATTTCACTGCACCCATTTCCTCCATCCTAAGCTCTCACTTTTTAAAGGCCCTGGGTCTTCAAAAGTTTACCCAGGGACAAAGTGAAACCAAGGGTGGTCCCTACTTACCGTCGCAGAAAACGTCCATCTCTGGTGTTTCCAGCCCGGTTACCCGGCTGTAACTGCATCCGCGGTCCTCCACACCCCAGCCCAGAGCAGCAGCTCGGCTCCAGAACTTGAGACGGCATAAACCGAGGAAAAAGCATCTGGAAGATGAAGTTATTTCCCAGACTAACATTGCCCCGAGCGTACTTAGGGCACACTGGTGAGCAGTTTACTCGTGCCCGTCAATCTTCCCGAAGATGTTCGAATCACGTAGGACAGCCTACATTCTTCCTGTCCTTTTCCCGTTGCCCTACAATGCTTAAACTGCCTCCTTTCTCCAGCCCTCCATGGCAACTCCAAGGACTCTCCCAATGGCTCCCACTCTAACGCTCACCCTCCTGCTGTTTCAGAATCTAAACCTACCGCCGCGGCAATCCGCAGGCTCCTACGGGGTTGGCGTCTAGAAGAGGAGTAGGGATCAAGGGGAAGAGGAGATTCCCCATAAAAAAATGGGTCCCTGAGTCCTCGCTCCTTGGCACCGCCAGTTGAATCCCATTTAGCATCTCCGAAGCACAAAGATACTTAAAGCAGTGTTTGGAATACTTCGAGTGCGCCCTGTTTCTTCCTGCCTCCTGTCCCAAAGGTTAGGATGACATTCGATTTTGTTTGGAAGCGGCTGGACTGAATTATCTGAATAATTTAGTGTTGTGCCCCTTGGGTACAAGATAAATTGTAGTTGGACTGGAAGAAGAGCTTGCAGGGTCTCAAAGCCATTCTGGCTCCAAAAGCTAAACTTCTCTCTTTTCTGCATCTTTCCCCGCCCCGGAATAGGGTCCCTCCCTAAGAGCACAGCACCAGCCCAGACCCCAGACACCCGCCGTCCCTGACATCCCCGCGCGCCGCGAACCCCTAGCCTCCCGGAGGAGCGGAGAAACTCGCCCCTTTGCCAACCCCTCCCACCTCCAAACGGACCTGCCAGCGAGGCAGCCGAGCCTGGCCCTCGAACCCGGGCGGCCAGAGAATCGAGGCCGAGACCCAGCTCGGTGCCCGAACAGCTCCATGCCCTCCTGCCAGTGTCCGCGCGGCGCCGGTCACACCCCCTGCTCGTGGGAGAAGCCCCAAGGCTCCCGGTGCAGCGAGAGGCGCCCGGGCTGGAGCGCCCCGGCAGTGCTGGCCACGGAGTTCTTCAGCTGCTTGATGACTACGAAGAGCAGGAGGAAAAGTAAGAAGAGCAGAAAGAAAAAGAGCGCCAGGTAGAGCAGAAAGTTGAGCTCCCACTCCATGCTGAAGGCGCCGGCTCTCAGGGGCCGTGCGCGCTCCGCACCCGTTGCCTCTGGCCTGCAAGGCGCAGCCTGCCGCGTCCCACCTCCGGTCTCCCCGCGCCGGCGCTCGGGCGCCTCGCCTTGGGCAACGGCTCCGGGGTCCACCCTCGGCCTCCTCCAGCTCGGAGGAAACGCGCCAAGGAGCTGGGGTGATCCCGGCTCCCACCCTCCCCGTAGGCACGACAGCCTGTCTACGCTGAGATCCTCTCCTGAGCTCTTGGGAACGCGAGCTGATTTTTCTAGGCTCAGCCTCCTGGACGGTGTTAGGGCTGGTGTTCTGCTAATGATCTTAAGGTCTCCAGCCGCAGCATCCAGTGGGGTCTCTAGCCCCCTCCCTTCCTAATTAATTAGCTTCATTATTTTCCCTTGTTCAGGCTTTCCCAAAGGGCAGGCGATGCCATGGCCCAGAGACCCAAAAGTATCAAAGGGGACAGTGAAGGTGGGGTCTGAAGGGCTGTGGGATGACTTAAGGGCGCCTGAGTGAATGCCAGGTCAAGCTGCCTTGCTCTTCAGAGTTGCAGGTGCACTCAGTATAGAGTGCACATTTTTGTGGGTAACAATAGGAAAAAAAAAATGTTAGAGAAGCATTAGATTTATTTAGAAAAGCATTAAAGAGAAAATGCATTTCCAGTTATATTGTACAAAGCCCGCCAATGTTGACTTAGAGTTCAATTTCTTTGGGGGAAAACAGAAACAACACAACAATTTACTTAAAGTGCTCGCTTAAGCCCCTAACACCTCTCTGTAGTGGATTAAGATCACCCACAGCCCATATGGTGCAGCTCTGAAAGAAATCCAGTTGAACTCTTGCTGTGTAACAAATTACCCAAAAACTAAGTGGCTTAAAACAACATAAACATTGGTCACCTCTCAGTATCGGTGGGTCAATCCTTTGGGAGCACTTAGGTGGGTGATTTTGACTTGGGGTTTCTTATGCGGTTCAGTCAGGTGTTAGCCAAGGTGGCTGTCATCTGAAAGCTTGTCTGGAGCTGGAGAATCCACTTCCAAGGTGGCTCACTTACATGGGGGGCAAGTAGTGCTGGTTGTCGGTGGGAGGCCCCAGTTCCTTCCAATGTGGGCTTCTCCACAGGGCTGCTTGGGTGTTTGCTCAACCCTCTGCTGACTTCCCCCAGAGCACAAGAGCTGAGAGCACTTCCCCCAGTGATCCAAAAGAACAAGGCAGAAGCTGCAGTGCCATCTACGGCTGGCTTCAGAAGTCATATACCATCACTCCTGCAGTATCCTGCTGGCCACAAGGCCAGCCCTCTTCGATGCAGGGGTCCAAGGACATGAACACCAGGGGGTAAGGATCATTGGTGGCCATCTTGGGGTCTGACTATCAAAGCTGCTAACGCAATGGGTTATCATTGCCCACTCTGTGAGCCTCCAACTTTATTTCATTCTTTATTTGTGAAGATACAGGAGAGGCCCCTGGAATGAATTTGGGGAATAAGGCCTGACATACACATCCCAGATTATTTAATGTGCTGCTTATAATAAATGGCTCTCCCA